GAATTAACTTTATATTTCTATATTTTAAAATTGTATTGAGTTAATAAGTAAGTGGCAGAATTATCACTCAATGGTTCTAAAACAATGGCAGTATTCCGATGAAGTGACAGACTACTGGTGAACGTCAAAGTAATGATAGAAGACACAGGAGACATAGTGATTCGTTACATTCATATCCGAGTTAAATTAAGCTTTACGGAAACTGTCGAGAGTTGCCGAATGAATATAACCATGCATGACAACCCCCACAAGTAATTTCAGTTTATGTTTGATTTTGTTATCCGTTATTGTTAAATTTATCGCTGTGTCGAATTTGAACATATCTGAGGCAATGACCAAAATAACTGAAATATAAATGCACAGGGAAGCTTTAGTTTTAATTCATGCTGTCTGACACACGACGGATGTGGATTTACAATCAGTTAGATACAGCAACCTAGACATTCGACATTTCTCGGCAGTTTCTCGGTAATGAATGGTGAATTTCATTGTGTCTTCTTGGGCGATAAACTTTATATCCGGCTTTTCACAATTATTTGTTAAGTGATAGTAATATTGTGACCTGAATATCGAATACTAGCTTTCAGGGGATAATTCTGACTCAAAATTTTGTATTCTAATTTTAATGTAATGATCGGTTTAACAATGATATATTTTATTATCATTTTGGATCCTTATCCTACGAAGTTTTTTTTTAATTAGCTTTGCTGACAAATGCTAGTAGTCCTGAACGACCAGCCTCTGATATATAATTAATCAGGTGATAACGTGACAATACTGACATAGTTCCGGTAAATAATGTCTGCCATTCATTTGTGTGATATGTTGTAAAGCGCTAACAGAACTTTTACGGTACACCGTTTGCAACTGAGGTAGAATCGGGTCATTCCAAACCCCGAAGCTGTGCACAAACAAAGTGGTACTGTTTATTGGCCACAATAAATTGCTCTTGTAATTCAATATATATTCAATATTCGAAACTTCAGTTCTAATTCTCATGCACAAAATACATATTCATTATTCAGAAATAAAACACAATAGATTCGACCATCTAAACAGCATAAAACGACCTGCATCGGGTGGCGCCTTCAACATGATTGCAATATGATTGAAATATCTATCAAAATATGTGACAAATGAGATGATATAAATTCCCTTTCACTCGACCACGTCAGAATCTGGACGCAATACTGACAAAAAATGACTGTCATTCAAAACTGTGATAAATATAGTGCTAGAGGAACTTATAGGGTAGACCGTTTGATGAAATCCAACTTTCATCAAAATTGAATATCAACTTCCACCGCGTCTTCAAGCCGAAATCTACACATTTTTTTTAAGTCAAGGACAATAACTCAGGAACTTTCATCGAACTATTGCCCATTTCGAACTTCTCAGATCTCATAACATACCCATTCAGATCAAGATTCACAAGATTCGGATTAAAAGTGAAGCTTTAATCGAGACTACAAGCTACCAATTTGGTTCGTTTTTAAAGGAATAGATTCGCCATCCGTTTAACCATCTGTACATTTGTCTTAGAAACGGGATTTTAGCTAAACTAATAATGCGCGTTGTCCAAATTTTAGCCTTCAAATCAGTGAGTGTCCAGAAAGTTAAAATGACGACTCATCTTTACATGAGACTCCATTGTATATGTGAAATCGATTGGATGGGATTATGAGATTTCCATGCATTTTTAGTAGCTCTGAAGAATATTTACATCTAATTCAACTCCCGAAAATGGCGAACTATGGCCTTTAATAAGTCAAGGGCAATAAATCCATCTAATCTACAAGAAATGTGGTTGGAAGGAGAGGGGGCGGCAATTGGCCACATTTAAAGGTTTGAATGTAAAAAACAAATAATTGTAGAAAATATAAATTTAATACATGTATGTATGTAACAAATATTACAAGGTTCTTGAATAGAGCACTGTTATCTGAAATAAAAAAATAAATATATCAATGGTAAGGTTAATATACATCGTCGATTAAACCACGCCCCCTTGATGATAATCAGATAAGTCAATGTTCTCTTTATCCAAATAACTTAGTATGAAGAATGAGAGGTTGCCCGTATATTCGTGCGTAACGTGTGTGATTTTATTTACAAATCAAATCGTATATAGACACGTGCTGCAGTACGTACCTTATTTTCCCATCATACCGTATCCGCCCATTCCACCGAGCATACCGCCCATCATACCGTATCCGCCCATTCCACCGAGCATACCGAGTCCACCATAACCCATCATCATTGGGTTGTACATACCACCCATCATACCCATACCTCCCATACCTATACCAAGTCCCCCCATACCTCCCATCATACCAAGTCCTCCCATACCCATCATGTAGGGGTCCATCATACCCATACCTCCCATCATACCCATACCACCCATCATACCCATACCGCCCATCATTGGATTAAAAGCAAGGGTGGTGGCGGCGAAGGTCAAACATAAGGCGATGGTAAAGAGGGTGTTCATCTTGAATTCTGGAAATGAAAAAGAATAAAATCATTATCTACAATTTGAACCAAATACATGATATAAAGTATGACTGCCGGATAACACGTTTGAACTACAAACAAATCTGCATTGACACAACTAGAATCAGTTTGCGCAGCCAAATACCAAAATGTATTTATTAAAATTATTATATCAACAACCAAATACCAAAATGTATTCATTAAAATTATTATATCAACAGCCAAATACCAAAATGTATTCATTAAAATTATTATATCAACTTACTAGTTTCGGCTGGTTGTGATGTTGATAGTTTGAAGAACAGAAGATTTGTGATATTTTTACCTTCAATACTGACTGTATTTATACACTAGTTTATAATATATATTATTACAACATCCAATTGAATTGAATAACCTGATTAAAACCATCACTCATTTTTCTCTCAACAATTATTTATTATTCAATTTACTAATTATTCTAAATCTATTTCTAAGTAGGGTCACCCTCGGCTGTAAGGAACCAGGATGTAGTTCACATATCAGATACTATATGACGATCAATGGCCTTGATCATGATGTCAATTTACAAAACGAAGACAAAACATAGGGAAATTAAAATAAAAGCTAAGAAAGTTTGAGTCTCATTGTAAAGAATTGTTGTTCTACTTTAAATCACTTGGGAGGGGATTTCAAATAATCTTAAGCAGTCTTTATACATAGACAGTTTTTTTTTTCAGCGTTTCCGCTTAGTACATATCAAACAGTGGCGTTTCTAGTAAACACCAAGTAAAGGGGCCGTGGAGGGACCACAAAATATATTTATTTGTTTTTTTTATCCCCATATGTTATTGTTGGCATATAACGCCACCATCCTTGTTCGTCATTCTGTCCGACCACATTTCTTGAGGACACTATAGACTATAAAAGTTTCTGAACTGTTGCCCTTGAGTTAAATGGCGTCAAATTTGAATTGCAGACATGCTCGGTGGTATTGGTGGATACGGTATAATGGGCGGTATGCTCGGTGGAATGGCGGGATACGGTATGATGGTTGGTATGCTCGGTGGAATGGGCGGATGCAGTATGATGGGCGGTATGCTCGGTGGAATGGGCAGATACGGTATGATGGGTGGTATGTTCGTTGGAATGGGTGGATACGGTATGATGGGTGATATGCTCAGTGGAATGGGCTGATACGCTATGATGGGCGGTATGCTCGGTGGAATGGGCGGATACAGTATGATTGGCAAATCAGGTACGTACTACGATCTCTGTGTTTTTGATCATATATATATAATGCCAAAATAGAAAATAATGCTCTTAACATAATAATGTTTCAAAATGTCAAAACTTATCAATTTTTACATATATTCATCGTGTTTCAATTTAGTATGTAAACCACGTGATTTTCAATGCGACCACTTCATTGTCTTTGTTTACAAATGTTCGTAGACCTGAACGACCAGCCTCTGATATATAATTAACCAGAAGCACGTGATAAATTGACAATTCTTACATAGTTCCGGTAAATAATGTCTGTCATTTATTTATGTGATATGTTGCAAAGCGCAAGCAGAACTTTTAGGATACACTGTTTGCAATCTAGGTCATTTACGAAGAAAATAGGGTAATATTTCAGGCCCCATTTCGTCAAAGCTGTACGCAAACTAACTGGTACTTTTTATTGGCCACAATAAATGGCTCTTGTAATTCAATATGAGGTATAGATCTTATTTTCACAGAAAACTTCAGTTCTCATTCTCATGCACAAAATACATATTCATTATTCAGAAATAAAACACAATAGATTCGACCATCTAAACAGCATTATAACGACCTGCATCAGGTGGCGCCTTCAACATGATTGTCCCTATGAAATATGTATCAAAGTATGTGACAAATGAGATGATATAAATTCCCTTTCACTCGACCACGTCAGAATCTGGACGCAATAATGACAAAAAATGACTGTCATTCAAAACCGTGATAAATATAGTGCTAGAGGAACTTTCAGGGTAGACCGTTTGGTGAATACAAACTTTCATCAAAATTGGATATTAACTTCCACCGCGTCTTCAAGCCAAAATCTACACATTTTTTTTAACTCAAGAACTTTTCATCGAATTATTGCCCATTTTGATCTTCTCAGATCTCATAAAATTCCCATTCAGACCAAGATTCACAAGATTCGGATAGAATATGAAGCTTCTATCGAGATTACAAGCTACCAATTTGGTTCGTTTTTAAAGGGATAGATTCGCCATCCGTTTAACCATTCGTACCTTAGTCTCTAAACTAATAATGCTCATTGTCCAAAGTTTAGCCTTTTTAGCCTTTTAGTGTGTGTCCAGAAATATCTGAGTTTGAAAGTTAAAATGACGACTCGTCTTTTCATGAGACTCCGTTATATATGTGAAATCGATTGGATGGAATTATGAGATTTTCATGCATTTTTAGTAGTTCAGATGAATATTTACATTTAATTCAACTCCCGAAAATGGCGAACTATGGCCTTTAATAAGGGCAATAAATCCATCTAATCTACAAGAAATGTGGTTGGAAGGAGAGGGGCGACAATTGGCCGCATTTAAAGGTTTGAATGTAAAACACAAATAATTGTAAAAAATATAAATTTAATACATGTATGTATGTAACAAATATTACAAAGTTCTTAAATAGAGCACTGTTATCTGAAATAAAAAAATAAATATATCAATGGTAAGGTTAATATACATCGTCGATTAAACCACACCGCTTGATGATAATCAGATAAGTCAATGTTCTCTTTATCCAAATAACTTAGTATGAAGAATGAGAGGTTGCCCGTATATTCGTGCGTAACGTGTGTGATTTTATTTACAAACAAATCGTATATAGACGCGTGTTGATTGTTTAATTGATCACATTTGAGTTATATCATAGCAGTACGTACCTTATTTGCCCATCATACCGTATCCGCCCATTCCACCGAGCATACCGAGTCCACCATAACCCATCATCATTGGGTTGTACATACCACCCATCATACCCATACCTCCCATACCTCCCATCATCCCAAGTCCTCCCATACCTCCCATCATACCAAGTCCTCCCATACCCATCATGTAGGGGTCCATCATACCCATACCTCCCATCATACCCATACCACCCATCATACCCATACCGCCAATCATTGGATTAAAAGCAAGGGTGGTAGCGGCGAAGGTCAAACATAAGGCGATGGTAAAGAGGGTGTTCATCTTGAATTCTGAAAATGAAAAGGAATAAAATCATTATCTACAATTTGAACCAAATACATGATATAAAGTATGACTGCCCGATAACACGTTTGAACTACAAATAAATCTGCATTGACACAACTAGAATCAGTTTGCGCAGCCAAATACCAAAATGTATTCATTAAAATTATTATATCAACTTACTAGTGTCGGCTGGTTGTGATGTTGATAGTTTGAAGAACAGAAGATTTGTGATATTTTTACCTTCAATACTGACTGTATTTATACACTAGTTTATAATATATATTATTACAACATCCAATTGAATTAAATAACCTGATTAAAACCATCACTCATTTTTCTCTCAACATTTATTATTCAATTTACTAATTATTTTAAATCTATTTCTAAGTAGGGCCACCCTCGGCTGTAAGGAACCAGGATGTAGTTCACATATCAGATACTATACCTCGACTAATGGCCTTGATCATGATATCAATTTACAAACGAAGACAAAATGGAACGGGATTAAAAGAAAAACTAAGAAAGTTTTTCTATCGATATAAAGAATTGTTTCTACTTTAAATCACTTGAGAAGGGATTTAATTAGTCTTAAGTTGTCTAAAAAATACGAAGAGAGCAAATTTTGTACGTTTCCGCTTAGCATATATAAAACAGTGGTGTTAGAAATACCAGGTGAGGGGACCGAGCAGGTGCCACAAAATTATCATTCTTTCACTGTCTAAAATGATAAAAAGCGTTGAAAGGGGGGGGGGGTGCAAAACCAGGCCGGGAGCGACCTGCCAAGTTATTGTCAAGTTATTACGTACTGCATCTAGCCATTTGGTTGGATTGTATGCTAACGAATACAGCCAATCAGAAAGTCTAAGAACTTGTAACCATCAAATCCACAGTTCTTCTGTCGAGAGCTGTGATTGGCTGGCGTACAATCCTACCAAATCGCTGCATTCCGTGATAGAAAGAAGGTAACTATTGCAGGCAAGTTAGAAGGTGAAGTTCGTAATAGTTTGACATTGCGAAGATGTCATAGTCACGTACAATAATATTCATTAATGAATTCGTGTATCTTGAAGCCCAATATCGTCAAGTTTCTAGGTTTCTTTTGTCTGGCACAGCATTTTGTTATGATGTTTATTTATAATGAAATCCATTTCGTTTTCTTATGGACTGTCAAATATGTCTCTGTAACTATAGCAACCTAGTTTCAATTGTCAATATCAAACTCTTTTGTTGTGGTGCAATTCACGCAGCTGCCATCTTGATTTAACACAGTTAAATAATGATAATTTGATTCTCTAGCTTCTGATAAAAATAAACAATCTTGTAAACATATTATTCCATTTAAAGTAAAGTTCCAGAAATAGTGCAAACATACAGGTTTTACTGAAAATGTAAATCACTCAGGAAATGTACCATCAGTGTTCTAAAAGCATACAACAAAATTGTATAAAACGTTAATTTCATTTCAAGTTATATTAAGCGGGATTAATAATCAATTGAAACTCCAGTTTCGCCTAGATTTCGATGGTCTTAAAGTCGCCATGAACCCATTTAAGTATCAAAGTCGGTCGTCAATATTGTCAAGAGCAGATCTGTGAACAACATAATTATCTTGTAATGATATAATCCGTTAATCCGCGACAATCTACCGCAGTGATAATAATAAACAGTAACTATGGTTTAGTAAACAATAAAGTACTATAAAATACCTAACCTTAAACCAAAATATTATCATTCCTTTCTTATTACTTGATACCGTTTCATATATTAACCCTTTTTACCTCACTTTACTACCAAGATCAAAATGAGAGAAATCGTTCATATGCAAACTGGCCAATGTGGTAACCAAATCGGAGCTAAGGTAATAATTTTTAACATTTTGTAACATAGCTCATAACCTTTCTCTTTGAAATAATCCTATATCGTCTTTGAGCTCAACTACTAGCTTACTAAATGTTCATCTGTTTCGCTGAACCTTCATACAATTATTACTAATAATCCAAAATTTCTTGTCTTTCAGTTCTGGGAAGTGATCTCTGATGAACATGGTATTGACCCAACTGGAACTTACCACGGTGATTCAGATCTTCAATTGGAGAGAATCAACGTTTATTATAATGAAGCAACCGGTGGTAAATATGTACCCAGAGCTGTTCTCGTCGACTTGGAACCTGGTACCATGGATTCTGTACGATCGGGACCATTTGGCCAGATCTTCCGTCCAGACAACTTTGTCTTTGGCCAGAGTGGTGCCGGCAATAACTGGGCTAAAGGTCATTATACAGAGGGTGCTGAATTGGTAGATTCCGTTCTTGATGTGGTTCGCAAAGAAGCTGAAAGTTGCGACTGTCTACAAGGATTCCAGTTGACCCATTCTCTGGGTGGTGGAACTGGTTCTGGTATGGGCACTCTTCTGATCAGTAAAATTCGTGAAGAATATCCGGATAGAATCATGAACACCTTCTCTGTTTGTCCTTCACCAAAGGTAGGTCCGCGTTTATTCGTTTTAATTAATTAGGGTGATTATATTCCATTTTAGCTATGAATTCCGAAGAACAAAATTACAAGAAATGCAAGATAATCTTTTCTTTCATTATTCAGAAAAAGCTATTTTAACAGTAGCCCTATATTACTTTGGCCTACATTACTTCAGGATCTCCCTTAATATATTGTTCTTTATAATTGCAGGTATCTGATACAGTTGTTGAACCTTACAACGCCACCCTCTCAGTTCATCAACTGGTAGAAAATACAGATGAGACCTACTGCATTGATAATGAGGCTCTATATGATATCTGTTTCCGCACCCTTAAATTGACCACACCTACTTACGGAGATCTTAACCATCTGGTATCAGCTACCATGTCCGGAGTGACCACCTGTCTCCGATTCCCTGGTCAACTCAATTCTGACCTGAGGAAACTTGCAGTCAACATGGTACCATTCCCTCGTCTTCATTTCTTTATGCCAGGTTTTGCTCCTCTCACCTCCCGAGGTTCCCAACAATACCGGGCTCTCACTGTACCCGAACTTACCCAACAGATGTTTGACGCAAAGAACATGATGGCTGCCTGTGATCCGCGTCATGGTCGTTATCTAACAGTAGCAGCTATGTTCAGAGGTCGTATGTCTATGAAGGAGGTTGATGAACAGATGTTGAACGTCCAGAACAAGAACAGCAGCTACTTTGTTGAATGGATTCCTAACAATGTTAAGACCGCTGTTTGTGATATTCCACCAAGGGGTCTGAAGATGTCAGGGACATTTATTGGAAACACCACAGCTATCCAAGAACTATTTAAAAGAATCTCTGAACAGTTTACTGCTATGTTCAGACGAAAGGCTTTCCTCCATTGGTATACTGGTGAAGGTATGGATGAGATGGAATTTACTGAAGCTGAATCTAATATGAATGATCTGGTATCTGAATATCAACAGTACCAGGATGCTACAGCTGAAGAGGAGGGAGAATTTGATGAAGAAGAAGAACAAGAAGATGCTTAAATTGGAGATATTAAACGAAGCTGAAACTATTTATTCTATTTCATTTAATTGTTATATGTTAATAAATGAACATAATAAAGCCAGACAGAGCTGTATTTATCTCTTTGTATCTCAAAAAGTCTCTGCGCGAGTAAAACCTTATTGCACACTAATTGACTTCGTCCGTATTCGCCAGCCTAAGAAAGTGCATATAGAGTAGTATACACATTTCATTTAATTATACTTCGGGTCACTATGAAGTACACGTAAATGGCTCTGAAAGATGCAAAATCTAAGTCGACTAGTTATAGTAGCCAAACACTAGATTTTAATGATTGTTGGTTTGAAGTGTTTGCTATGTTTTATTGGTTTCAACTTCAGAAAGTTCTATACACATATCCACTGGGTGCAACTTTGGCATCCATGGGGAAATTTTTTATGTCCGCCATCATCGATATTCCGAATCTATTTCCAAATCTCTACCAGTCATACAACACCTCCTCCTATCAGCCCAACAACCTCTTATAATACTAATCCAACAACATCACCTAATACCAGCCCAACAATCTCTCATAACACTAGTCCAACAATATCGTTTACTACCAGTCCAACAACGTCGCCCTTTACCTGTCCAATAACACCACCCTCTACCAGTTCAACAATATCCACTACCACCAATCCGACATCATCTCCGCCTTCCAGTCCAACAACATCCCCTACAACCAGTTTGTCGGCATTCCCCACTATCCGTCCAACAACATCCTGTACTACCAAACACTTCTCTTGCCACACGTCCGTTACTACCTCCAAATTTAAGTCCAGCGACATCTTATACTACCAGCCCAACAACATCACCTACAACATATAATACTACCAGTCCAACAACATCACCTACAACATATTATACTACCAGTCCAACAACATCACTTATATACTACCAGCCCAACAACATCACCAACAACATCACTTATATACTACCAGTCCAACATCACCTATATACTACCAGTCCAACAACATCACCTACAACATCTTATACTACTAGCCCAACAACATCACCTACAACATATAATACTACTAGTCCAACAACATCGCCAACAACATATAATACTACCTGTCCAACAACATCACCTATATACTACCAGTCCAACAACATCACCTACAACATATTATACTACCAGTCCGACAACATTGCCTACAACATATTATACTACCAGTCCAACAACATCACATACAACATATAATACTACCAGTCCAACAACATCACCTATATACTACCAGTCCAACAACATCACCAACAACATATAATACTACCAGTCCAACAACATCACCTATATACTACCAGTCCAACAACATCACCTACCAGTCCGACAACATCGCCTACAACATATTATACTACCAGTCCAACAACATCACCTACAACATATTATACTACTAGTCCAACAACATCACCTATATACTACCAGCCCAACAACATCACCAACGACATATTATACTACCAGTCCAACAACATCACCTATATACTACCAGCCCAACAACATCACATACAACATACTATACTACCAATCCAACAACATCACCTATATACTACCAGCCCAACATTATCACCTACAACATAAACTAGTGTCCAAAAGAAACGATACCAACTTATTTTGAAAATTGTTTTTTACTAAGTGAATTGTCTAATATGAAAACATGCCAATTCGTATTGCACATCCCAAACACAGCAT